GGGGCTGTGAATTGTGGTGAGGCAGGACATGAGCCTATTGGGAGGGGCCAGGGAGTCTGGACTGATTCCTTTTGGGGCCATGGTGTGCAGTGATGCAGGGGCTGAGCTGGCCGGAGAGCTCTGGGAGTCTTGACCGGTTCCTCTGAGGGCTGTGGAGTGTACCGATGTGTGGTCCGAGCCAGCTGGGAGGGATCTGGAGGTCTGGGTCTGATCCCCTTGGGGCCACAGGGCTTGACGATGCAGGGGCTGAGCCAATGGGGAGGGGTATGTGGATCTGGGTCAGAACCCCTCAGGGTCATGGAGTGCAGCAAGGTGGGGGCAGAGCCAGCTGGGAGGGATCTGGGGGTATGGGCCAGTTCCCCCTTCAGACCACAGAGTGCAGCAACAGCGGGGGCTCTGAGGGGTCTGAAGGTTTGGCCACTGGGGTTGAGAGAGGCAGGAACAGAGGCGAAGACAGGGACAGAGGGGGCTAGATGGAATAACGCAATAAGGTGGGTTATTACTACGGTTCCCAGCAGTCAGGGCTGCCAGGATAGGGCGGGGGTGTAGGATCATGCTCCTGTTGTTACTGGGTGAGAGTCTGAGCTCCTCCTTGAATTGCAGCCAGCAAATGTGGTCTTACTTAGCCCTGGGTGTTTCTGCACTGTACCTCCATCTTCTATTGGGAATTCTGTAGAGGTGCCCTTCTGCATGTGAGGTTGTTGGCTTTATTCCAAGATGACCATGCTGAGTCATGCTGTTTGGCCAGGAACCTCCACCTGTATCTCTACTCTTTTGCTATTTTCTATCAGTTTCTTCTCAGTGGCTTCTGATCTAATACTTTATCCCTTCATTTGTGGTTCAGGGTTCCAGGACTGACATCTCTGTTTTGCTTGGTTTTTCAGGTCTTGCAGTGGGATGTCTTAGTGTGTCTGACTAGTCTGCCATCTTGGCTCTGCCCCTGACTGGTTCTTTAAATTGGCCGTTACTTCCAGTTTATTTGTATGCCTTGTTTTTTGTTGAATCTGGGACATTAGAATATTAAAATGTTTTGGCTCTGGGCATGTGTGTGGCTTTTTCAAATCCAACATATACATGGTCTTTTGAAAGTGCTAATTTTTGCAAGAAACACTCAGTTAGTCATAATCTCTAGTCTTTGCTCACCCCACCTTGTGACAGCTCTGATTCAGGCCAGACTGAGGCTTTATTCCTTTAGGCAACTCCCAGACAGATCAGGACACACTGAACTGTCCACCAGCAGAGTCTGGACTGTTCACTCCAGAGCCAGAGACCAGCCCCCTTTTGAGAATGCAAACCATGCTCCTCCTGCAATGCAACAGAACCTGTGGTCACCACACTGGGAGAGAGAGATGGAAACAGTAGAAAAGAATTTCTACTATTTAAAGGTTGCATTTTCTTTTCTTAGCTTGTGGCTAGTTGCTGCAATCGTCCACATACCTTTCAGAGTTCCTACAGCTTTTAGATTTGCAGATTTCTAGTTGTTTTTATTTGTTGGTTATGTGAGCAGGTCAGGATCTTAAACCTGCTCGTACCACCATTTTCCTTGAAGTCCCACTGATAAGCTCCTTTGGAGGAGAAAAACTCATTCTGGAGGTAGGGATTTCATTTTAAAAAGTGTCCTTTTTCTCTCTAACTGCACTATGAAGTGACATATTTATTTGTTCGGCACCAAGATAATTGAAAGTGGAATAAATTTTGTCGTATGTTTTTAACAGGGAAATGGGAAAATCAACAGCTCCCAAGGAGATGAATCACTAAAATACTCCTCAACTCTACATAAAAAAGAAAAAAAAGAAAGATTTTAACAAGAAGTGCTATTTGAGTGTTTACAGTACCATACAATAAATTATTTGATACCACTCAGGAAAATGTTTGATCTTAGTTGTTAATGTTTTAGCAGAGGGCACTGTCGAGAGTGGTAAAATAATAAATTGAAAAGTTTGATAGTACAAATTCCATTTCTCATTCTACAAACTGGAAGACTGTTTCTGCCAATTTATATAGAAGAGTCCAGTAAAATATTACGTGAATGAACCTCCAGTATTTTATCTCCACATATACCATTGTGTTGCCAGTAAGACTGTGAATCTGAAGGGGGGAACTTCAACGTTTAAAATAAACCTATATGACACATTGCAAAGATTAAAAAATAGTGCCAAATACTGATGGAAATTATACATTTTGCATATAATAAAATAGAGCACATCAAACTTTCTTCTCTGTAAATTGAGCAAATGTTTTAAATTCAATACTTAAGATTTAACCAAAAAAATCAATTATAAATTGACTTAAGCAGCATTGATTTTACCATGTGTGCATTAAACATTGAAATTTAATTTCCATATTTGAAACAGATGTCTGATAATTTTTCAAAAATGAATACATGCCAATTTTCAAATTGATATTAATGTCATACTAAAGGAAAAAGGTCAATTGAGTTTTAGTAACCACATATAATTCACATGAAGCCATCCTTATATTTTGGCAGCCCTATTATTTATTTCTTATAAAATAATTTCAATAAAAAATAATAATATTTTAGTTCATAGATATTCCTTCTAATGAGCTCAAAATGCCAACGAACTTAGAAATAATTATTTATCAAGAATATATCAGAGATACTGATTGAGGTGCAATCATTATAATGTTGGTTTATAATATGGTTGCTTGGTAACCATACATTTTATATGTAGCTAACGCATAACAAAATTGCATTTAATCTTGAAATTGTTCACTTGCAACATGTTGGTATCTAATTAGACAAGATCCAGTCCCATATTTCTTTAAATAATGATAGTGTATTCTTCCACATGAGGGCTCCTCATGTAATATTACCAGTTTTGAAAACATAGAAATTGAGAGAGCTGATGTGTTTTAAAATTATTTTTAGTAAGAATAAACTATCCCCCTTGCAATAGTTTAATGAGGACCCAATATGTGAAAGCCATAGTTCAAGTGGATGCTCATCTTTCTAAATATTTAGTGATCAAAATAACTGTTATTTTAACCTTATCAGTGAACACTGGCCTTGGCTTCTAAAACTAGAGAGAAATCAAATCTCACTATATGATTCTTCACACACTGTCAATTACTTACTCTTCATTTTCTTATCTTAGTTACCAGTTGTTTGTCACTGATACAATTTCTTTTTATAAAAGCCAATCGGCAACTTTCATGTGGCAGCACAAGCTCACCTACACAAGGTTCTAGTCCACAGTTGATTTATGAACCCCTGTACTTTTGAAGTACATTGGCTTTGTCCAGGGGATACCTAAACCTAAATCTTGATGACAGCCTTGGGAATAAAGATGATTGTATTCTTCATTCAAGGAAAATCTTCATCATATGTGTCTCTGTTTTTATGCTGACAATGATGACTTCCCTGAAAAATAAGCAGTAAAGTTTCAACTCATCCTAACTTTTTCTCTTGGCCTCAGGAATTTTGCCAAATGGAGGATATTTGGACTCTTTTTTTGTATGGCTTTCCCAGCTGTCTTTCGCTCAGTTCGAGAATTATGCCTTTAGCTGGACAGGCTGAAGGTTTTGGGAAGGGTGTGCATTCTTTTCTTTATACAATATGAGGGTTACAAGCTGGCTTGAAAGCCCTCCAGAGCAATTGCACAAAGTCTATCTTCCTAAGACAGCCTCTCAAGTCTCTCCATCTGCCACAACTAAGCCCTGCCACCTGTCCAAATTTTTTATGACCTTTGCTTCTCTGAGGCCTTATAACATTCTTTGAACCATCTATCACATTTTTAAAGTGTGTGTGTGAGAGAGAGAGAGAGAGCGAGAGAGAGAGAGAGAGAGAGAGGGAGAAATAACTCCTGCTAAGATTAGCTTCCCTAATATTAAGGACCAGGTCTTAAACAATATTCTACTCTTCATAAAACATTACACAGTACTTAGGACATAGAAAGTATTCAAAGATCTAGCTCTTCTTTCAATTAATAATTGTTAGCACTTGCCTGTATATCCTGTATTATTTTTCTTTGACTTGCATGTGAACATCTTACTTTCCTAATCAATAATAGGTTACTTAAGGGTAGGTATTACATCCTACGCTTCCTTTTATATTGAGAGGTCTCACATAGGACTGTTTACAAAGTAGGTGCTCAAAAAAGTGTATTTGTTTTTTACTTACAATATGCCAGCAATTATATGCATTATATCTTAATAACAAACTTATAAATTAGTTACCATTATTATCATCCTTATAATAGTGAGGAAACTGAAGCTTTAGACACTTTATCAAAGTCATAAAATGGAATAACTGAGATTCAAACCCAAGCTAAGTGTAAACATTATTGATTTAACACAATATACTGCCGCTCACTTTCCCACCATCAGGAACAAACTGGCACCTCTGATCCCACTAACTTTATATAAAGATGCTCCTTTCTCTAAATGCACTTAAATCTGATTAAATCATAATTATGCCTTACATATGTTCCCTGATACCTGTCTAGCCCAATTCTTGCACCAATCTGTAGGTAGAGCATGGTATCACTGAAATGAAAACTGGCAATGAGTACTTTTTTTTTTCAATTGTGAATTTTTAAATTTTGTATATTAGTTGTCAGAAAGAATGCTCAGCCTTTCTCCTGAGTCTTCAGGTCTAGTAAGTGCTGTGCTTAATATTATGTTCTGTGTAGGGTTTTCCACACTCTTCTTAATAATATGATTATTGCAAGTGATTGAATAATAATTACAATTATTGGTGATCTTCACTTTGGGGAGCCACATTCTTACATTATAGATGTTGCCAACTCAACTTACGTGGAAGACAGAAGCTACTGTCATATTTTTCCTCACTGTACTTTCTATAGTTACTTTGTGAAATTGATGAGTATAATGTGTATGTGTGCATGTGTGTGTGGTGGGGACAGAGGAACAGGGGCTTATTTTTCTGTAGGACACTTTGGAGCATGTTTGTGGATAGCCCAATGACTTAATTGAACCAGATCATCTGCTTCTAATAGCTCTTCTCTCACAGCCCAGTGAAACATAGGCCAGTCACAAAGAGATGTTAATCCTAGTCTTAAAATAGTGCATTCTGGCAAGACCCACAGACTGTGCTTTAGCAACTGATATTTCAGTGCTTCTTTTGCACATAATTTTGGGCAACAAATCCACCAGTTTTATCATGAAGGTTGGAATTGCTGCTCTTATAGCAGGAATTGTTGGTACTATTGGCATTATCTTGTTTCTTGTAGCCTTTGGAACAGAATATTGGTTACTTGCCACAGAGACTTGTGAAAGTTTTGACTCTAACAATGGAACTTTGGACGTTGAAGAAGAGGTAAACATATAGCTAATGTACTTTTAAAATAATATGATGTTTAAAATAATTACCCGTAAAGGAAACCTATCTTTTAACAAATTGACATGTTAGCAGTGTAAGATGAATCTTTGGGTTTTCATTTTAGAAATTTTTTTTTAAACATAGTAAATATTTTCCAGGGTTTATTTGTAGATTTGAGATATGGAGTACAGAATGAACCTCACAGAAAAAACTGTTATATAAAGCAGGAAGTGAGGCAAGCAGTTTGGATGCAAATTATTGCAGATTTATATGTCAGAAATGTTATTCTTACACTAAAGCCTGATAATCTGTATATTAGTTTGCATAGTTATTGTTGTGATCTTGTTATTTAAAACTAAGGGTTGGTTATATATATACATAGGCTTATGTATATAGTTGGAAAAACAAAGCTAATGTAGAGATTTGAGGAGGAAAATAAAAACAAATATTTCTATCCAATTATTAAGTAAATTTGAAATATTTTGTTTGTTTAGACTTGGGCTCTCATGAGGAAAACTTATTTCTCTTTCAGGACAGCTGAAAGTTGTATTTGTTTAGTTATAACTTTAGTCCAATTAAAAAAGGTATTTTATGAAAACGTCACATATGAACCCAAAATTTTTTCTTAAACTTCAATGTTAGGAAATTCAAATATAATCATGTTACAAAACAATACTCAACATCTTCTATTAAACAATCTTTATTGTCTTAGAATGTCTTCATACGGAAAATGCATATATATATATATATATATATATATATATATATATATAACCATTTGAAGAGGTTCTCCAGTAAAGAAAGAATGCTGTTGTTCCTTTAAAGAGTCAATACATCAGAGTTGCCCAAATCAGACTTCTCCAGATTGTTCTGTATGAGGAGGGTGAAAATGCTGAAGTCCTGGTTCTGAGAAAACTAAGAGGCTGATTAAAGTTTTCTTTCATGCCATCGGTCATTGTTTGGTATGCCATTTGTCCTTTCAGAGAGGATTCTATTTCTGCATTTCTCAACTATTCTATGCTCTTCACTACGCCATCCAGCATTATTAAAAACCTGCTGCCAAAATGCTGATATACTTATCCATGCATATAGGTAATGGATTAGGCCTAAAGTGCTACTACTCCCAAGGGTATTTGCCTTTTAAAGAGATTGAAAAAATAAATCTCTAATAGTAGATTCAGGCTGCAGTAATCTTGGCCAGAGAGATTTTTTTAAAGGGAATACCTCCCTGGCATCTGCTCAGACTACTTAGGCTGCCACCTACTCCATCTGCATTTATCATTAATTGCAAGTCCTAGATAGAAACTGTAAGTTCTCCCTAGAGAACAGTACTAGATATCTATGAACAGTACTTGCAAACAACAAATATAATCCTAGAATGTTAGAACTGGAAATCTTAGAAATTATCTAGTCCAAGTTGTAATAAACACTAGTCACCTCACTCTCCATCCTGTGCTATTTTCATAACCCCGAGCTGATGGCAGTCCCTGGGTGGTGCAAACAGTTAAACGCTCAACTACTAACCAAAAAGTTGGCAATTCAAAGACTCCCAGAGGTGCCTCAGAAGATAGGCCATGTGATCTGCCTCTGAAAGGTCACAGCCTTGAAAACCCTGTGACGCAGTTCTACTCTGCACACTTTGGGTCTCCACAAGTCAGAATCGACTCAAAGGCAACTAACAACAACAACAGCAAGCTGACGGCATGGCTTACAAAATCTGTGTATCTATAGCAATGAACACATTGACTAATACATAGTTGGCTCCCAGTAAACATTTACTGAATGAATTTTGCAGATGAGGCAATTGACGTCCAAAAAGAGAAAGTGATGTACCCAAGCTCACAGAACCAGTGGCTGAACAACATGAGAACCTAAATTTTCTGCCTCCCAATACAATGTTCTATCCACGGTTTCTTGACAATTTTATTACTTGAGGATACATTTTACATTTGCTACATGTCTGTAAGAAGCAAAGATCTGATCTAGAGCTAATGTTCCATAGGACTACTAGCCAAAATGTTGACGGTTCAAACCCACTAAGAGGTGCCTCAGAAGACAGGTCTGGACATGATGTTGTACGTACCAGCTTTTGCTAGTCACCAGCATATAGCATACTCTCACTGAGCGAAGATAACTGAGGTAAGGGCTTGTCCCTGTAATAATTCATTTGCTTGAATAAAGGCATCTCTAAGTCATTAAAAGTAGAAGTCCTTGCCAGTAGGAGAAAAAATGGGTATGTATTTGTGGATTTCCTAGACATGCACTTCCTAGCATTTAGATCCATAGACTATTTTTCCATTATAGTTGTAAGCAAGGCATAAAAATATTTTTTAAGCTAGCAAATGTCTTAATAATGGAAGTGTTAAAAGAAACATTATTGATAATGTTGGTAATTATTATTCTGGACTACCTATATATTGAACTTTTGGAAAAAAATAGAACTTGCTGGAAATAAGCAATTGGTAAAAATAATGAATCAGAAAATCTTGAATACTTAGATTTTATTTAATGCATTTAGTTTTGTTTCCTAATATAGAATCACATGGGATGAGAAGGTAGTGTTACATGTATGTGGGTAAAGCAGAGAACAGAATAAGGACATGATGTTTTACATATTCACTTTTGCTAGTCACCATCATATAACATACTCTCTTTGAGTGAGGATAACTGAGGAAAGGAGAGACAGAAAAATGTTGATCCACAACTAATCCCCTATCTCATGTTGGTTAGCAATTCCCACACTTAAATTCTGCTCTTATATTACACAGCTAATCCCATCTGTTAGCAAATGGAAAAACTGACAAATTTCATCTTCTATTTCTTTTCTGGTTGGCCACTGTTGAGCTCAAGGGTACTCAAACTACCACGTGCTATAGAATTCCCTGAGGAATTTGTTAAAAATGTAGTTTCCTGGCATTTACTGCCCACAGAGTTTGAGTCAATAAGCCCGAGTCTAGCAATCCACATTTTTAACATTTTGATCTCAAATTCTGCTCTATACTATATATGGCAAAAATGTATATATGAAAACTGAAGGTGGTAGAACATACCCATTATGTGGTGAAGCGATTGGAAAAACTATTGAAAGTTATCTCTACATCGACCAAATACATCAATCATATGAAATAGTCACATTCATTTGGTCTCCACTAATATAGGCCAGTTGAAGATGGGCTGCAATTTCCTTTTTTAAAAAAAATAATTTCCTGTATAGCCATTGCAAATTAAGAGATGGCATAAGCATTAGAAAGCATATTAAGAAGACTTAAAAGAAGAAACTGTTGAAAGTCCCTCAAACATTTTAGAAGCACCCATTTGCATTAGGAGAAAAAAAAGAAAACTATCTTATTAATTAAATTGAGCTCCCTGAGAACTTCTGGAAGGCAATACCTTTTAAAAATCCAGTTTAAATAACTATGTAACACAATTAAATGTATTAAAATATGTCTTTTAATCTAGGCATTCAACTACACATTCTGACGTTACCTTGTACTCTTTGGAATAAGTAAGTCTTGACTGCTCAAATCCTATCTTCCTGGTCACAACACTTCGAAAAAATATTAACAGTGGAGATGTCCTGGCTGCCATATTTTTCAATGCGTATCTGTCCCTTAGAGACCTTTTGCTCATTAGATTAATTGAAATGAGCAACATAAACAAACAATTACACTTATGGGTCTCAACTCCTTGGCACTGAGCATGGAAACAGGCTGTGCTATGACTGAGTAGCCAAAATTTATGTTGCAATGGTACTGTAAGACATTATATGGCTATGCATACAGAAGAAATATATAACCTTTAAGGAAAATAAAAATTTTAGACTATATCATGTATACCTTAGTGCAAGATTGGAGTGCTAATCCATTGGTCACATTGCACAAAATCAATGGGCTCGTTCTTGGGTTCTTCTACAATTCATGTGTAGGTGAAACTTATGATCTCCATTTAAATTGCTGTTGACTGGGCAACCAGTCAAGTAAAGATACGGATTGAGCCTCCTCTAGGCCTAACACTGTGCATCTAAATGTGCTTATTCTTTATTTAAAAAGTTTTATATTTAAAACTTTTTATTATGACAAAATTTCAAACATATATAATAATAGAGTAGTATAATGCTCACCCATCTATTCACCACCAAATTTCAAAGATATCAACATTTTTCCATTCTATTTTTTAGAGTAATATAAAGCCTTCCTAACCAAAATACAGTCCACAGACAAGCAGGAATGCCATCTCCTGGGAGCTTGTTAGAAACGCCAAATTTTAAGCCCCTCCCCAGATGTAATAAGTCAGAATGTGCATTTTAACAAGATCCCTAGTTGATTTGTACACACATTAAAATTTGGGGAACATTTCCTATAAACGTTCTTCCTACGCTGCAGATAAATAGTATCTCAGTATGTTCTGAAATTCTAAGCAAAATGAGACTTCCTTGTGAAGCCAGAATTTCAAAAGTTTAAGTATTTCTTTTTTCATAGTATGATGAAGATATGAGAGACTATGAGGAAATGTCCATAACATACCATCATGAAGGATTCTTCTGGAGGTGTTGGTTCTTTGGAGATGATTCACAAACTTCAGTATGGAGATATTGGTTTAGTGAGTATTAGAAATAAGCTATTGTGTGGGATTTTAAAGTCATGGTTTCAATTTCAAAAACAATCTCATATAGGAATTGGAGGGGACACATACCAGGGATGTATATTAAATATTAAAAGCTCAAAATTGGATTACTATTTTTATTTGGTGTTTGACTTAGAAGACAAATGGTTATTTTGAAGCCATCAGATCATATGTGGCTTAGAGTGAGACATAAAATCATTCATGTTTTCTTTCAAGGTAACATAGTTGTCTTAAAAAGTTATTCATGCCTTTCTCTATAATTGTAAATTGCTCGGTGGAATTAAAGTCAATAGAATAGCAACATAATTTTAAATTTAAGGTCCTCCTTTAGTTTATCCTAAATTATCACACAAAGAACTGATCAAGATTTTACTTCCCTGCTGAAATAATTTTACACACTGGAGGTAAGGCTTTCAATCCTAGCTTTGCCAGTTTCTAACTGTGTTACTCTGGGCAATTTGCTTAACCACTCGTTGCTTATCTCCTCATAATTATGATGATTGCCAACCTGTTATTAATATTAATTTAATAACACAATGAAGGAAGTTCATAAAAAATGAGCTCTGCCTTTTTCTATTTTTCTAGATATTTTCTTCTTCCATTGAAATGCAAATCAATTTAATAGCAATTTATGAGTTCAGGTTCTGAGGAAAATTAAAGAGCTGAGACATGGTCAGCGACTATATCTAACTGTTTCTGGCACATGAGAGCTCTTAAAATATTATATAAAATTAGTATGAAGAATCTTAATCTAATATACTACTTCTTTAGACACTCTTGGTCACTGCTATAACACTAGAACATATATATGAAGGTGTTAGTACTATTTGTACTTAATGATCCAATAATCTAGGCATCTTATTTGCTAATGTGCTGAAGAGGCTATAGCTTCCAACCAACAACAACAAAAAAAACCCTTGCTCATAGCCACCCTATAGGATAGAGTAGAACTGCCCCACAGGGCTTCCAAGGCTGTAAATTTTTATGGAAGCAGACTGCCACATCTTTCTCCCACGGAGTGGCTAGTGGGTTAGAACCACCAAACTTTTGGATAGCTGCGGAGCACTTTAACCTCTGCTCCATCAAGGCCCCTTTGATACAAATAGAGTCCTATTTAAGGATTCATCAGGGAGCAGATTTAATCAAGGAAATAATTAACAAATGCAACATGTATTTGTAGTACTGCACTGTATTAAGGATAAGATAGATACAAACAAGTCACTGGATAAAATTCTTGTTCTCCGAGAGTTTATAACTTATAACTGGGGTCAAGGCATAAACACATTTAACAAACATGACAACACAAGACAAGGATGAAGGTGATATCACAAGGTGGTATAGACTATATACCATGAATTATAAAGGCATTAAACATTTACAATTTCATAGGAAAGAGAGGGATAAATAAGAATTGTGGTGCTTACACTTTCCTGTGTATCCAAAGATCACTCTGATTGCCATGGAAGGTTCGTGGAGGGATGTAGCTTGAGATAAGGTTTGAGTGGTAGATTCGGGCCAGACAGTGGAGAACCATGAATGATCAGCAGTTGGAAAAACCAAATCTGGGGGTATAATGCCTTTATTAAAAATACCTTCATTTAATATGCTGTGCAAATTCTACTAAAAGCTTTTTAAAAATAGGCTCTTTTGAATAATTTTATGATAAAAAATGAGCATATAACTATTTATATCCTTCTACAATCAGCTGAAAAGATCAGAAATAATATATAGTAAAGTGCTATTAGTTAGGTGGGAGTTCTGGATTGAATGGAGTAAGGAGCTTGGCAGACACTTTTCCAAGCAAAAAATTTAACTGGTGAAAATTATTTAAAAATATTCAAACTCTCTGGAAATTGTCCTATGGGCATACAGCAAATAGAGAAATACGTATTCAAGAATATATACTAAGGTGAGTTCCGGCAAAATGGCACTCTAGGCAGAAGCACCACGCCGTCTCTCCACAGCAAAGATCCGAAAAACTAAGCCAAACAGAGAATACAACAATCCTGAAACCCTAAAACATCAAATGATGAGATAAAGAACTCAGCCAAGCACCAAATGGAGTGAGAAAACTGACGGAGAACGGAGAGTGAGGAGAGACTCATGCTGAGGTCCCCTACCAGCTAATGCAGCACGGATCCACCATCTTGGACTCCTATCAGAGACCAGCAAACGGGGGTATGAGAAAGCAGCCTCACGGAGCGTCCAGTGGGAGACAAAACAGCCGGTAATTTGCGGTGTGCGTTTTCCCACCCCCACCCCTCTTCGCGCCGGCTTGGCCTCCTCTGCTTCCCGCGGCCACAGTCTCTTGACTGGGAAGCGCTGGCTGCTTGTATTCCACACACCCAAGTGAGCGGCTCTCTGGGTGCCATTTGTTGGCTGCTAGTGTTGCTTTTTTTTTCTGCTTCTTTTGATTTCTCACTTGCCTCTCGCCACCTCCCCCTCTTTCACTCGAGTGTCTGGCTCCGTGCGCCACCTTTGCTTCTTCCTGAGGGGCTGCAGAGCACCGGCAATTTGTGATATACGCTTTACCACTCTCCACACTTCTTCACCCACACTCAGCCTCCTCTGCTTCCCGCGGACACAGTCTCTTATCCAGAAGCACCAGCCCACACTAGCTGGCTCTCTGAGTGCCATTTGTTGGCTGCTTTTGTTGCTTTTTTTTTCTGCTTCTTTTGATTTCTTGCTTGCCTCTCACTGCCTCCCACTCCTTTTGCTCGAGTGCCTGGCTCCAAGCGCCATCTTTGCTTCTTCCTGAGGGGCTGCGGGGCTCCATTCCAGTGTGCAGCTGCTTCCCGGTCTGGGCTGCCGTGCTGGTGGGATCCCGGGGCTTTTGTTCATTTGTTCCTCTGCTTCCCGCGGCCATGGTCTCTTGACTGGGAGGCGCCAGCTGCTTGGATTCTACACACCCAAGTGGGCGGCTCTCTGGGTGCCATTTGTTGGCTGCTAGTGTTGCTTTTTTTTCCTGCTTCTTTTGATTTCTCACTTGTCTCTCGACACCTCCCCCTCCTTTCACTCAAGTGCCTGGCTCCGTGCACCATCTTTGCTTCTTCCTGAGGGGCTCCAGAGCACTGGCAATTTGTGATATATGCTTTCCCACTCTCCACCCTTCATCACCCACACTCAGCCTCCTCTGCTTCCGGCGGACACAGTCTCTTGTCCAGAAACACCAGCCCTCACTGGCTGGCTCTCTGAGTGCCATTTGTTGGCTGCTGGTGTTGCTTTTATTTTTTTCCCCTGCTTCTTTGGATTTCTTGCTTGCCTCTCACCACCTCCCCTCCTTTCGCTCGAGTGCCTGGCTCCATGCGCCATCTTTGCTTTTTCCTGAGGGGCTGCGGAGCTCCATTTGAGTGTGGAGCTGCTTCCTGGTCTGGGCTACCGCTCTGGTGGGATCCCGGGGCTTTTGTTCGTTTGTTTGTTTGGAACTGTTTGTTTGTTTTCTTTTCCTTCTCTTGAGTTGGGAGCCCTTTCTGGCCAGGCGGAGCTGGGTGGCAAGGAACGCCCCTTCAGCTTCCACAGACGTGCAGAGGGATCCCTGAGGACATTTCTTTTTTTGTTGGTTTCTTTTTTTCTGTTTTTTGAGGGGGCCTTTCTTGTTCTTTTTTTTTTTGATTCGTTTTGTTTTCTTTTCCCTCATTTCCCCTTTTTGTCTTTCTTCATTGCTCAGTTTCTCGTCTTTCTATATCTTCCTTCTCTTTCTGATCCCTGAATACCAGGAATTGTATGCCTCTGCGCCTTCTGGCCAGGCTGTGCTGCGACACCTGAGAGTGACTTCCCCAGACCTCATAGCTGCATTGGTGGGATCCCTGGGAACTTTGCAGTTCTTCAACCTTTCTGATTTTTATTTATTCTTTCTTTTCTTTTCTTCCTCTTCCCCTTTCTGTTTGTCTCCATTTCATAGTCTCTCATCTCTCCATTCCAACGGCAAGCTCGCCTAGCATTCTTTTTTGTTTGTTTGTATGTTTTTGGCTCCTGTTCCTCTCTTCTCTCTCCCATATCCATCTTAGCTCCACACATAACCATCTCCCTGCTGCTTCCTGCCTACCTGCACCGTGCGCTTCACATCACACCACCAAGCAGCTCAGGCATGGCCTACTGGAACCTGCCCAGCACTGATTACTGACCCTCCCTGGTGGCTGTAGTGAGTGCCACAAACAACCCGTCCCAGTAACTCCTCTACAGCTAGACCTACCCTGCTGTACCATATATGAGTGACTGAACCTGCCAGTAGGAGGAGGTGAAAAGTATTGAGCGCACGGATGAGCAAACAACAAAGATCACGCAGTCCGCCTGCTCAGACATAGTCAAATTTTTTTTAAAAAAAGGGACGAAACAAACAAATCTACAATCAATAAACGAGAGAAATAACTACTGAATGCCCCGAACACAGCAGACAATATCAAAACATTTACAAAA